GGTCACTAGGAGGGATCACAAAGGTCATGACAGATCTCATTAAATCAACTTCCAGGTCATGAACTACCAAATTTCCTGCTGATTGTGACCTCACCACTTGGCAGTGATGGAGGGGAACAAAGATAGGGACATATTAGTTGATAATAGGATTAGTCAACTGCATGTGAGCAGGTGAAGGCCATGCAGGCAAGAGTGCTGCAAAAGCAAGCAAATATTAAGGCCAGGTTTCACAAAAAAGCACTCTGGAAGAGTGGTTTTCACTCTTTTCATGCACGTGCCAGCAGGCTGACTTCAGTCTGGAACTGAGGTACAGAAAAGTGGTTAAAAGGAATGAAGATCATGTCTTCCAAATGGAAAACAAATAATTCTGGTTTGTTTAACAAGTCAGGAGTCTAAGGAGAGAAATGATTGCTTTTGTACTGATGCAACAGGAAAATAAACACACCGCTGTTTAACGAAGAGCTGTTTAAACGAACCCTGGCAGAGGGTAGGTAGTAATTTTATGTCAGCTCTAAGGAGTTTACAAGGGTAAGAGCAGGCAGCTTTCAGGGGAGCTTTCTGGAGGAAAGGGAAGGAAAAAAAACCCAACCAATTTGAAGATTGAAAATTCAAGCAGAGGTGATATTGCTTCACCTTCCCAGATGTGAGAACCACCCTCATAGGTAAAAATAGGGAAGACTTTTATGGCTAAATATGCTGGAAAAGTTCGCAGTAACAGCATTGCTGGACTACTATGTAATTATCTCTAAGCTACATGTATTCACTCACACTACTCAAAATAAGAACACTTACAGGTACCTGTAACCTCAAAACCTGTGAAAGAATAACCATAGTCTGTGTCAAATTTAGACAACCATTTTTTCCAAATATATCTAATCTATTAGGTATTTCTTCAATAACTGTCCTTAAAATACAGCTGGTGTAAGTGCATAATTGCTTCAGTTAATGCTTTATTTTGAGAGTTGTGGCTCCATACAGAGGATAATTTCCAAAGTCATAACAGAGGAAAACACTCCTGGGAAATTTAACAACGAGCTCAAGGTTCTCAGAATAATATAGTGAATAACAATTAGAAAGGTATCATTAACATATGATACATGGCTGTAATTTTGTCCAAACTAATTAGAGCAGTTGTTCTCTTAATAGTTTATTAAAATGAACACTAAATCAAATATATTAATAGTGCACATATATTCTGTATTGTGTTTTATATTTTGTTAGATATGGCAATAAAACAAGTCTTTGTTAAAATCTACTGTTATCACTTGAAGTACTGAGAAAAGTTGTATTGTCATCAGATCCTACAGAGCAAGCTTGAACTCAGCAATACCAGTGGATTAAACAAATAAAAAGAAAAGAGATGGACCAATGTCTGCTTTTAATGGAGATAAACATAATGTCACATCTTGTTTTCCTCCTCTGGTGCTTCTGCCTCTCAGGCCCTGGAAGGGCACATACCATGTGTGTGCATTTGAGAGAAAAGCTGGACCAGGAGCAGCTAGTATTAAAGCTGAGGTATTAAATAGGATGGGGAATATTATTCCTGCAAGTAAGAGGGATTGTTCTCACCTGTGTGCTGTCCATAAGGCATTCTGCATAAAGAACCAACAGACATCATAAATCATTATCTAGAGACAGTAAACACTGAAAAAAAACCCACGCAAGACCTATGCTGCTTTATCTAGGGGCTCATTTTTAAAATTACCTGTCCTGTACTAGGCTGTTGATATTTGAGTCTCATCCATGCAATTTGGCCATAGCAACACAGGTATAGAACAGCTAATGATCACAGATATTTCATTTGCAAAAGATTCAAGTTATTTCTGTTTAAACAAGTGCTTTGCACAGGAGGGCAGAAGTTAGGCAGTGGTGTTTCAGCAATTTCCAAGATGTCGAAACATTCCTTAGGTTCCAGGTTAAAGGGTGAAACCTTGGCCTTATTTAGATGCTCTTCAAACATTAGGGGCCAGCTATGGATCAAGGTTTAAGCAAATCCTGCTACGAACTGGTAAGTATTTCACGGATGACTTCCATATGCATACAAGTATCTTAACCAATCCACAATGAACCACATATCAGGCTTTTTACAGTAGTTCAGTCTTGTGAAAGAAGTTTAAATGGGAAGGTGGAATAATCAGCACCATCCGAGACCAGAGCCAGGGCCTGCAGACAAAAAGAGAACACAGCGCTTTCTGTTTGCAATGCTGTTTATTTTAGAAAAGCCCCTTTGATCATCTGAATGAAAAATGTGGGCAGAAAAGTCACAAATGTTATAAAACAAAGTTTATTCTGCAATATTTTGTCATAATGAATTGCATCTCTTTGGTAAAAATAAAATTTATAAACATTTTAATTAACAGAGATTAGCATACAAAAAACTAAACTTTTGTAAATCGTCTTCAAAACGGGTAAAGGACTAAACCAGAGGAAAAAGGGTTAGAATTGGTCACCTACTGGCAGAATTATTCTAAACAAACCCAAGGACATTGCTTATGCTACATTAGAAACAAGCTAACGGGAATGGTTTAAAAACAACTCTGGTTCATTTGATCAGAAAGCATTCTTACAATTCACTTTTAAATAAATAATAGTTACAATGAATTGGCAATTATAAAATGTTTTATATCACTATATGGCAGTAACATAATACTTTTAATTATGCACTTTTTAGTTTGAAGAAATGTACATTTACAAAACAGACTTGATAATGGCACTGGCAGTTAGGTGTGAAGAATGTGCTTTAAGATAAAATAGCAGGTGCAACATTTAAAATAGTCTACCTTTTCTTTTCAATAAATATTTTGACCACACCATTATTAACGTGTATGAGTATACTTTGCTTTAATTAAAGCTTGTACTTTTCAGGCTGACGAAAAGTTGCAAACCACACAACTTCCATTTTACAGTTGGATTTAAAAACATTTGATGTGACTTCTGCAGATCAGTAATTTAGGATTGGAATCTGAAAAGCCAGTATAGGTTTGTACAGTAATCACATCAGATTTACCCTGAACAGAGCAACCTCCCATGAACACAGGCCTCATACACTTCTTCACTGCATTTAAAGAACTGAATGTGGTTCATTAATACTTTTCTTGCCAAAATGTATCCAAGTCAACCATTGGCATCAACATTTTACATATGTCACTAAAAAAAACCCAAAGCCCAACAATCAAAATAACTTTTAATTATACTCCATTTATACTATATACAGCAGGGTCTCTAACTGAGGTGGCAAACAAACCCGAACCAAACAGATATGTAAGAGAAAGGAAGGGCAGCTCTTCTCCCACTGCCAAGAGAGGTGTTCCACAACTCAGCTGTCGGTCCTTGCTGCCAAACGTGCAGGCAGAGGTCTGGGACAACATGGTGGGACAGGGCAGGGGCACAGCTCATCTGCCTTCCCCTTTGGAAGCAGAGAGGGAAGACAGCAAAGCAGGAAGAGCAGGAAGAGCACGGCCCCGCTGCACCGCTCTGTGTCCCAGGGAAAGGCTGCAACTGCTCCCCCCTTCCACAGTTCCAGTTCTCCCAGCTGTAAGGATGGATGGGATGCAGCTCTCACTGCTCACTGCTGGCTACTAACTGGTTCTCACTGGTCATTGCATAAGGTGATTAAATGCATTGTTAGCATCCCAATCCTTCAGATGTGCTGACGTCATTGTCACCAACTTCAGGGTTAACAGCAGCACAGACACACTCCCAATAAGTATTAACCTCCTCAAATTTTATCTGAGGCAAAAAAAAATTCAGAACCAAATCAAACCATGGAGCTGACTATGAACACAGTTTCCACAATACCTGGATCTTGATGCAGCTTTCACTGGAAGCTACAGAAAGCTGCAACCACTTCAGCAGGAGCCAGGCAGCACCCCTCTTCAACAGTGTGAAACTGAAATCATGGCACTGAGCAAAACCTCAGGCTGCTCACAGTATTTCTGTGTGTCTGAATCCTCCTTTTCACATTGACACAAGCCTTTGCAGTTTTACATGAGAGTTCAAAAGCAACCCATGAGCAAGAAGAAGCAGTTCCACCAAGCATTCACATCTTCAGCTCCTGAAATCCTAAGAAAGACTGCGTTGGTACTTAGTTTTCCTTTTAATGGTGAGTTTTACCCCTGCTACCCATCACTAACACATCCAATATCAAATCTAATTGGCTAGTGCAGCACTTGTGATAGCTGGAACACACACACACGCCTGCACACGTTGCCCTGTTACAGGTGTAGGCTAACAGGTGCTCACACAAAGCAGGAATGAAGCAGAGTATTTTCCTTCCCTTTCAAGAAATAAAACAAATCATTCTTAAAATTGAATTGGAAAAAGAAAAAAAAACATAAAAAAGCCCCAAAAAAACCAACTTCTTTTTTTCTCTCCTAGTGTTTGTGCTTTAAATTCCAAAACACAAAGAACCTCGAATATTTCACACTTGATCCAACAGCCATTGAGTCAGCAGGTGCACCACTGTTGTCTTCAAGAGGCACTGGAATGGGCCCTCAGAGCAACAGACCTTCAGCAGCATGGCTGTGTTTGCATTGGAAGTAGACAGTTTAGGACAGGATTCATGAAGAGACTGACAAATAAGAAAAAAAAAGAAAGGAAAAAAGGGGCAAAAAAAGCCACACTAATCTAAGAAAGGCATTCAAATAGCCAGGAAAATACTCCCTTAGGGAAAGGTTAACTTTTGGCTGAACCCAGCACTGTTTTCAACAGTGGACATTGGTTTCCTAAGTGGCTCTGCTCCTAATTTTCACCCAGCTTGCCCAACACCTGGTGGAAGCAGTAGCTTCACGTTGGTGAGAATGTTTATGGCACATCATGCTACCTTTCAGCAACAGGAAAGATGACCTTGGATAGCTGTATACAATTCTGCAACATACTTAAGGCATCCTTGTATGTACAGTACTGTTAAAACCCACTCCAACAGAACTGCTTACCCATTTTTGAAAAGAAAATTAAAAAAATAAAATAAAAAGGCATAATCTACAGGAAGATGTAAGTAATCACCACTGATTTTAAAAGAAAAATAGGGATAAAGTTCAACATACCACAAAAAACATTTTTTGGCTGAAGGATGTCTAGGAACTATAAAGAGATTCTCTTATTGCAAAATGAATTTTAATCCTTTACATGGAAGTCAGAGCCCTTAGACAGAACAAAATTCACCTCTGCAGATGAGGCCAGCAGAGATGTAAATATGATCCACAGTGTGCATCTGAACAAATGTATCTCTGAAAAAAAAATAGTCAACTATTGAAAAGAAAAAAAATTAAAATTATCATTAAGAAGTATGCTTTTGGGTTTTCACAAGTCATGCATATCTTCTAATTTGAGAAGATTAAGTATTTTCTTTTTAGGTGGTGATTTAAAAATAAATGGCTAAATTATAGTTTGCGCCAAAAAAAAAAAAAAAAAAGCAGTGAGTCCTCTTATGGCTTTGATCTCCCTTGTGAAGGGCAAAAGTAGAAGAGTATTGCCACAATTAAAAAAAATATATGTATATATTCAACACTGACAAACATATTATTTTTTCCTTTGCTTGTGACAGTGGGTCTTTGCAGTACTTATTAAGGAACTCAAGCACGTTTGGATGCCAGCAAGGTGGAGCAGAGACCCTGCTGCTTCCTTCAGCTCCTCATCGATCTCCTGGCACAGCTCCTCGAGTACTTTCTTGCTGGGCTGACTTTCCTTAGAGGTATCCACACAAGGTTGGGATGCATAGCCACTGTCTCCGAGAGGATCGTCTTCATAGTCCCCGTCCGTGTCCACCTCGCTGTGGAAGCCCTCGCTGCCGTCGCTGCCGTCGTGGCTGGTCTTGGAGATGAACTCGTACACCTCGTCCAGGGAGGACAGGGAGGACACGCTGGACCTGGAGGCGCAGCGCTGGGAGCCCATGCTGCTGGCACTGTAGTTGTGATCCTCGCTCGGATCGATGCTGGTGGCCGTGGAATCGTTCTCCTGCAGGTTTATGGAGCTGGGGGGATTGAAGGCGCTGCCGTAGCTCCTCTTCTTGGGTGTCTTCAGAGGCTGAGGTTTCTCACCTGTGAAAAACAAGACGTGTCAGGAGGCAAGTGCCCCAGTGAGATCACCTGCACCACTGTGCCTAGCTGGCTGGGAAACTGAATCCCAGCATTTAAAGTCACAATGTGCCCGTTTACTGTCACCCACAGAGGACAACAGTGACCACCTAATCCCAGCTAAGAGCTAGAGGAACAGAGAAGTTGCCAAGAAACTCTTCTTACTATCTAGCACAGAGAGGGCAGGGATAGAACTTTGCAGAAAAAAACCAAAATTAACTGGGAAAAGAAAAAAAACAAAATTTACTGGGAAAAGAAAAAAAAAAAAGGCTGCTTCTAATAAAACTCTTGCAATACCAGCTGAAAGAATAATTAAACCAGAATTCTTTCTTGACTACATTTACTGTTTGGAAACTAGACCATACTTGTTTCCTGAAATTTTATACAGAAAGTATTTAGTTACTGAGTAGAGAAGAAAAACAAGAGTAAAATGGCTTATGCTTACAGTCCAGCATCCCTTGTTGAATGGAAGTATTTAACAGCATCATTGCAGTAGCAGCATCAATATCAGATTCTGTGAAGCAGAAGCAGCAAAATGTTAGAACTCAGGTAAGCCTGACAAGATGACGTCTCTAAAATATACAAAGAATACATATAAATATATATATATATTTGCCTGTACTGGCCTACAACAAAGAGCAAGGATGGGGGAACGTACAAACTCAGACAAAGCATGACCCTTGTACAGCTCAGTGCTGTTCCAGATCAGTCTCATACCTTAACTATGACATTCAAAGGCTGAGTTCTCACGTTGCACTCACTGAAGCCAAGAATCAGTGACACAATTAGACGTTCATGTGACAATGCTGTTGCTATACTTAACAACTGCCTTTTGTTTGTACCAGTTGGGAGAGAAAGATTAGACACATGGCACAGCAAAGCACCTCAGCAGCTCCATACCCTGGCTGTGTGAATGTGCAAGGCTGAGAGCAGCCGTGCCCATTAAGGCAGCACTAATTGAGCACAGCTCCCTCCTCCAGCAGAATTTTTCACACCAGTAAGTCAAACGGAAGAAATGGAGACTGCACAGGGGGAAAGGGCACTGAACTGCTCAATCTAGGAAGCAAGGGGATCTAAATAATAAATAGGCATGTAGAAAAGGTTGAGGTGAATTGTGGCACTGTCAGCTGCAGTGAGAAGCACTGTTACAAAATGCCATCCTTTGCAGAGTAGATTGCTTACATTTCTGAAAGGCACCTTGAAGGTAACGGGGCAGAGAGTGACATTTCTAACCAGAACAAGGTGAAAGGGAAAAGAAACAAGCATGCCTTTCCCACTCGTTTCAGGACATGCTCGTGCCCTTTAAAGAAGAGGAAATCCAATCCATTCTTTGGCTCACTTCTGCAATGGATGATGAATACTCCTTATATAGGACAGAAATATGTATGGTGGACTAACCAGGCAAAACAGGAACAAAGAGACAGTGAGCTCTCACAAGAGCCTGGGTGTCTGAGAGCAGAAGATCACATCTGAGGTGTAGGTAGGTATGTACATATGTATGAGCAGTGAGTGGAGAACAGGCCTGGAGGGGACCAGCAGCAAGCAGAACAGGCTCTCAGTTCTCCCGAACTGGAACTGTGGGAGGAACTGTTAAAGCAAAAGATCAGCAATATCATTTTTTATGGCATTTGTTTTCTTCCTCACATTACAGGCATTAACTGTATTACTGAATTTAAGGGGAGGGTAGTATTAGGAGAGGGACTGCAGAGTTGTCAGCGTGGATTCCTTATCTTGATAACTGTCTCTAACTTCACCCCTGGTCAAGAAGAAATTCGAAGACTATGACACCTTGGGAATGTTGTACCAACATGGGAAGGGGACTGAGCTGCTGTTTCCAACACAGGTTATAAAATGTACACATTTTCCTCCTTTGTTTTCCATGCCTTTAATTTTAAATCCAGCATATGTTAGGCTCTACCCCATTGTGCTCATGCAATTATTTTTTTTCCTTCTGCTTTGGCTTTCTTTGGCAGAAACGGAGCCCCTGAATTCACAGGTTATATACACCCAACTGACAAAAAGAAATAGAAAAATAAAGCATGAAGAATTACTGCTCCACTAGTGTAATCAGGAAGTGAAACATTCCCATTCCTTCCCTGTTATCCCAGACATTTTATTTTATCATCTGATGTTGGTATATAAGCACTACCTTGTTAAAATGACAAGCAACCAGAGGCATTAATGCAATGCAGGATTACTACCTACAAAGAGTATTTCTGTACCTTAATACTCCCAAAGAATGAGGAGAGGCACTTCTGCAGTGGCTTCTTAGCAGTGCTCTGTGTCACTGATAATGTACTTCAGCTTCATTTGTGATTGCTCTTCTCAACAGTGCAGTATTTCCCAAATTTACACTTCTCCAGCAGAATGGCTGAGGAAGCACCTTATTACAAGGAACTCTGTTCATCTGCACAAGAGTTGCCCTATGGGACCCCAGGAACATGAATGGCTTGCATCTAACGCCAGAGAAATGCTGAACAGGCTCCCCCACAAGCAGAAACTAAATGACACCAGATACCCATCGTTATTCTGGCAACGCTGATGTAGCTAAATGGAAGAGGCAACATCAGACTGGCAAGCTCCAAACCTGTCACAGGACACACCAGCAAAATCCTTAGAAGCAGAGGGATTTCTTTTTTTCTCCAACAAGCCCTGAGAATCCCAGATCCAGCAGCCCTGCAGCAGCCAGCCAGCCAAGGGATGTTTCCTTGCCACCCAGATGCCACCACAGAACCTCCAGCTGGGGTTGCATGGTGATCATCACCTGTGGGCCAGGCTGCGGCTTGGTCTCCAAAAAGCCTTGGCTTTGCTGCCTAACCAAAGCTGCTGGTTTGTGGCAAAAACCTAAAAGCAACCTGCTCACCTCTAAGCCTACTGAGCCAGCAAAATCAGGGAGCTGGGTGTCTGATCAGGTCCCACTTGGGCAGTGCCTTTCACTATCCTGTCGAAAGAACTGTAACCACATTCCTCTGCAACATTTTGTTAGATTCAACCCTTTTAAAATTGAGGACCGTTCACTTTTCTGCACTTGAAAACCAAAATTACTATTATTACTTTTGTCTAGGACAAGTCTAATTAAGCTTTATTAGCGAGGTGCAAGAGCTGTGCTCAACTGGCTCCTTCAAAAGAAATGCTGCAACCCCCAGCACACTTTCTAGGCTCCCTCTTAGTACCACAAGTTTTATACACTAACATTTGCTACCTTTGGTTCTCAGTTCTTGGTCTCCAATAAAACTGATAAAGAGATGTGCAGCTTTCAGATTCGTTTTTTACTGAACTATGCATTAAGTAGGTCATATTTGGGAGTGATGCATGTGCTGAATATTTTGCTGTCAGGACAAGATGGTCCCAATTACACCTTGAAATTCACCTCGTGGATTTAAAATTAATTCACAAGTAGATAACACACGTGCATTGTAGCACATCAGGGTTTTTTTGTCATCTAGCAGACCCTTCAGAGCAGGAACAGAGACAACATCAGCTGGGCTGCAGTCCATGCTTATGACCAAAACCAGGGGAGAAGAGTGAAAGGAAATTCAAAGTTTACCTTTGAGAGATCGGCCATGATTCTGCTGAAGGACCGAAGTCAGGTAGTGAGGGGACGACGACCTACTGGAAAAGAAATTCAACAGCTCAAAGCCAAGCCCTGATTAGGCAAATTATTTGTACAAAGCATAGCAGACTCAATATTATGATCATAGAAGACCAAAAACAAAACCAACCCTATTCATCACAGGAAGGCAATCAACTTCTGCTGCCCTCAGTAGATGGCTCAGCACTGGTTCATACTTTGTGGAGCATTATTTAAGCCATCACCAGCATTTGGAAAAAACCTCCAAATACACACACAAAGCAAAAATCTTGTTGGCAAGAGTCACTGACTTCTACAGATTTTCTATACCTGCCTAAAGGCTGGATTTTAAACAAAGGTATGTGTTTTTTAGCACATAAAACCTACAAGTGAACAAAACATTAGCTGATACAGGGATGCTCAGGGGACAGGTAAGGACCAGTTGTGATCATCTGCTTTTCCAAACACTGGTGGGCAATTAACAAAAACAAAAAGTAGTAGGCAAAAACCCGTGGAAGAGGAAAAAAAAAAAGTCAAGACAACTGCGAATTTTAAAGTTGATGCTGTCCAGGGTGGTTCTTCATAATCAGACCAGCTTTGCTCCAGACAAAATACCCTTAAACCCCTCACAAAATAAAGGGCAAGTTAAAGCTTTCACGTTTTTTTTTTCTGCTACACTCAGCCCTAATGATTCAGTTTCTTATAAATATATTAGTGAGCAGTTAGAAGTAACTACAACAAAAATAGTACACACTATTAAAATTGCATGAAATGTAGCAATGTGCATCTTTTATAGTGCTGCTGGAACAATCTGAAGGGTGATGACAGAATTTTTTCAAACCCAACCTGCAAGAGAAACCCCAGTTGAATGGGAAAAATGTGCAAAACTAGAGTTCACTGTCTTGTATCTTTTCTTGTAGCAGCCACGGAGTGCAAAGGGAATAGATCCAAAAATAGGTGAGGAAAAAAAAAATAAAATAAAGGAAAGCAATGGTCTAACCCAAAATGGCTGGCTTTGCAGCCCTCAGATCCATTGTACAAAGAGATGCTAAACATCATCATCCTTTTGTCTAAGCTCAGATCCTTCAAAAATCATGTCCACATAAAGCTCCCCCAAAGTAAATTAATGCCTGGTATTGATTAAGACAAGCCATGCATAAGGTATGAGCAAGATGAGGACTGTGGCTGTGCCCAGGGCTCTAATTCGTGTAGCACCAGAACCAGAATGCAGCCAGGGGCTTCACAACGACTTGTTGAACAAGCTGTGCAGAAATAAAATGCATCAGGGATGCCAATCATCTATGAAAATACAAATTTCAGTGTCACTAGACACAGATTACAGTTTTGGAAAGCTTCTGCTCAAAGCAACAGCTTAAATTTTATTTTAAAATCACGCTGAATGACAGGCATACTCCCCAGAAACACACTGTAAAATAATAATGAACACCAGTCTTCCCACAGGAAATTTCAGAGACTGTCGCAGCTGAATTTTAGGATCACTCTGAAGATAAATTTGGACAGTATTTCAGTCTCTCTCCAGCTGAACCTCTGGGCTTCCTCTCTCTCTACAACAAGGCAGATCCTTGGAGGCCCTTCCCCAAAATCAGGCCAGAATTTAAATCAAATCTAAGCATGGAAGGGGAAAAAAATAAACCTGTTTTGCAGTGTGTGATGGGAAGTCACATAAATGTTTTTTATTATTGAAGGAAAATAAACCAGCTTTCATTAGGGAGCAGTTTGATATCTTAATATGTTTTTTCTTATTTTCTTGTATTCATAAATACAAGCCTGCAAAACCCTTCCCATGTTGAAGTCAGTGGGAATTTTGCCATGTGGCTTCATTAGATCCAGGATTTCCTTGTAATTGTTGGCAAGTGTGACTAGTCCTTCAGTAAAGGGAAAAAAAAAAGTTACCAAAAACAACAGCGTCAAAATAAAGTCCTGCTCTTCCAAGTACTTTAGCATGCACGTGAAATGTCTCCTTCCTCACACCTAATTTCGGTATGTTGCATTTATCCAAGCTAAGTAAACCACACTTAACACAACTTTAGCTGCACTGATCCTGGAGACCCTGGAGATTTTAAAAGCTTAACTGGTCAAGGCTCTGAACACCCTGCCCTAGGCTGAGTCTGTGAATCTTCTGCACCTCTGGCAGGACAGAAAACATCCAGAGGTCCCTTCCCATCTGTATTATTTTCTACATTTTAAAGTCTGGCTGTCCTAACACAGACAGAGCATTAAAGCTTTCAAGGACCAAACCTTCACTTGAGTTGTAGCCAAAACCAGAAGTCCATACCCTTACATAGATACATTAAAGCCTGTAAAAGCATTATGCTCCAGAGCCCAATTACAGTCATTTCAATAATCTTTACTCCCATAAACCCCAAGCAATACCACTAGCCACCTCATAGTTTCCAATCTTACTATTTCTTAATACTTAAATGTTTCAGGGTTATTTAAGTAATGCTCCCAATTCCAACAGAAAGCTGGAAAACAGGGTACTTCTGCCTGGCTTCTTCCAGCTCAGGTTTGAGAGAGACCAGAGACAATTGGTTGTATCTTGTGGGTTACAAACTTCACTGGACTAGGCCATGGGACACAAAAATCTTGAGCCCCTAAGGCTTGCACAGGGGTGCCAGCTCCCAAGGTCAGTGCACTGTTGGACCCTGAGAAATGTCTGCTCAGTGAAATCCTGCCCCAGGAACCCCAGCTCCTCTTGTTTGTTAAGGAAGCTCCATGCAGTAAGGTTAAGGCAAAGGGCAATGTACAGACACCTTAATTACCCCTTATCTCACCCAAATTCTTTCCTGAACTAGACAAACCAGCTGCATGCCTTCCTCAGAACTGAGCTCACCCAACATGCTGCTCTGCATTCTGTCCCCCTGCCTCCACAGGCTGACCCAGCTGCTGCTCCTTTTCCTCTACTCAGGACACATGAGTTTGACTTCAAATTCTCCAAAATCTATTGCCTAATCTTAAACTGTGTAGGTTTCAGAAGTCCTGGTTTCAGAAGTCTTGCATGCCCCACCTCAGATTGCATTTATGGCAAAGGCTCTCTTCCATCCCTGCTGCAAAAGGCTTTTAAACAGCCCCAGAGAAAAACAACCCTCTCAGAGCAGCATCTCAGCACTTCCGACTGTGGAAAAGTTGGATTGTTTTTGACAAAAGCACAGAATAGACACATTTTATATCCAGAGAAGTGACTTGCAGGAGAAGACACCCACCTTCTCCACAGAGCAGTACCAGGCACCACTCTAGAACAGTCCTGATGGACTGTGCTTGGAAGAGGATTTTGCTCCAGTTCCCAGGACTGCCTGCTCTCTTGGAGAAACTGGGCTCTCCAGAAAGCAGCCAGCACACCCCTGACCTCCTTCTTTTAAACTCTCCCAAGTTAATAAGAGACTTAAACACACCCCAGATGTGCTATCTGGAGAGCATGAGCTCATTACATCTCCCCTCCTCATCCAGCTGGTCTCACCTAAGGCCCACTCAAATTCTGCTCTCGGGTGGCAGCAGGTAACAGCACTTCAGCACCCTCTGCTACTTGGAGCAACTTCCTGCTGGCATGAGAACTTTCACCTACCTGGGTGGTGACGCCGGGGGAGTGTAAAACGCAAGTGCTGAGGAAAAAGGCTGTTTTTTCAGTGCTTGGACAAGATTAGGTTTATATTTCGGGTCAACGCACCACAACGACCCTTTTCCATTCACCTGCAACAAAGAAACACAGCAAATTAGAAAATCCAGGACCAGGCTGGTACAGTCCTTTCTAATTTAATATCCCCAAGTTGCAGCACAGTGCAATGACTGCACGTTGGCACACACCACTGCACAGCTGATGCATAACATCCACAGGCAATTCCATTGAGGATGGTCCCAAAGGTAAGAAAATGGTCCTGAGACCCTCACTATACACTATGGAAGCACGCATCTTGCAGGTGCAGGGATAGCATCTGCAAAACCCCTTCTCTAAAGCTCCATTCCCATTTGTCCCCTAAATGCTGTAAACCTTATTTTAACACTCAAAAACACAGCTGTGAGTTTAAGGACCTGTCAAGGCACCAGCAAACTGATCAGCATTCTTCTCTTTAACAGGTTTCTAGGTAAGAAACCCAAGCACCTTCCCCTTGGTTTAGATACAGACACATACTCATTGAACTTTACACCATCCTGGAAAAGGATCTTGCTCAATGCCCAGCTACAAAATAGATTATTCCCACTTTTTCAAAATCTGAAAACCTAATGAATGTGTTTTTGATGCACCTAACAATGTGCCAGTCATTCTTGATATTAAATTTTGTATATTGAAACTTAAGATAAAGCACCTCTTGCTTGTCTCAAAGCTTTGTCCATGAATTTACTAAATAAAGAACCTATTTTTTTTGAGCCTGCTAGTTCTTGCACTTAAAGAAGAAAATTAGATAGGACACTTAAAACAATTCTATAATCACTGACCTGAGAGATCAGCTAAAAGCTCTGCACAAAGCAGCACCAGATTTTTTGGGGAAAACAGATGCTAGAGAAATGGAAATGTCCATGGCTAAAGGATGGGGCAGCTTTACACCTGAACAGTAAGATCCTTCTAAAGGATTTTTGGGGGCTAAATATGAGAGCAGAAACCCAAGCTTCACGGAGAAGCTCCAGTGAGCCCACAGTGGCCAGCTGGCCTCCTCCTGCCAGAATCACAGGGGGCAATAATACCAATTTATGGATAGATGCTCCATGACTACTCTAGACTAAAAAGGACTTACAAAGCCTGTAAGTCTGTGGTTCTATTTAAGTCACAGGGGTTTTCTGAGAAAATATCTTGCTATCAATAGAGAAAAGTCAAGCCAGGGAGAGCCCCAGCTGTGAAAGAGATGCAGCTCTGCAATTGTTGCTGAAGCCACCTTTACATGCTAAAACTCAGCACAGCCTGTAAGATACTTATTGAGAAGCTTACTTTTAATTAATAAACAGACATAGTGGCTGGCAAGATGATTTATCCACCTAGGTACTAATAAGGGGCATCCTCCTAACTGGCTCTATCCATCATCTCAGTGACAGACTAACACCTCGATCCTTTTCCTGCACCTCTCCCAACCATGCACAACTGGCCTTTTTTTTTTTCTCCCTCCCTTTCACAGTTTGGAGGCTTTTGCCCCCAGGGAGCAGCAGGAAGTCCCCTGATCAGCAAACCACGTCTCTACACTGTTTATCTGCTACTTTAGGTGAGCACTTTCTCTTCATGTCTCATTCAGTTCAGCTGCTGGGAGTTAGCTTCCCTCTTTGATCTTCCCAGCAAGGTACTCCTCCAGTTTGCTGCCCTGACAACAAAACACAAGGATTTTGGGTGGATATTGCAACAGCAAACTGAACCCGGGCACACCCTGAAGCCATCCAGATACTGACAGATCCAACGCAACAGGCAGTAAAACAGGGTGACTTCTTCTTTGGGTCATGTGTAATGTGAAATCACACTTCCACCCACCTTTGGAGTTACTAAAAGTAGACACTGAGCTGAAGAGATGATGGGGCTGCTCCTGTGCTTTGCCTGCAACCCCTGCTTAGCAAAGGCCAGGTCTGAAATCAAGTGTCACGTGTTAGGGGAAAGCCTGCCACAGCTGGAGCTGGAAATGCCACAGAATCATCTTTAAAACAAGCCAGAACAGAGTGTGCCATTCCTCCTAGCAAGGACTAATTCAGGACACTCTAAAATGCTAAATTGCCTTTGGAGGTTAGTATTTCATTTCAACTGTGAGCCAAGTGCTGGAATGAAATGTAGGTGTAACTTTTAGTTATGATCTAAAGAAAAATGCCTCCAGAGTCAGTGAAAAGAGGCCACCAGGCTCTTCTTACTCTGCAACTCAAAACAGGGGCAATCATGTAGTTCTGAGATTACTTTTTGGTATATCACCTTTTCTGCATCTTTCTAATGTTTCTAATTTGACTTGCAGGATTTTACCTAGGCAAAAATAAAGGATGGAAAATAATTCCTGTGTTTTGAAGCATTGGAGCTATTTTGCAGACAGTAAGTTTCCAGCCCCCAGCATTTCAGGGCTGGATTACAGAAATGTGGGTTGGAAATGCAACGCCTGCCATGATCCAGCCTTGTCATTTACCATCACCCCACCACAGTTCCCCACCAGTCAGTGAGCAAAGCCCAACGAGTAACCAAAGCAGAGCAGCTCAGCTGGTGCTGGTGGCTCAGGCTCACTGCAGGCACATGTCCCCGTGCTGCTGAGAGCTGTCCATCCATCAGCTTCACACCTGGGCAGCAGTCCTGGCTCCATCAGGTAGGGCCAGTGTTCACCAGCTGCATCCACCTGAACAAGGTGAACCACTGGAAAATACTGTCTGTGTGGAAGGAGGTATAAAATACATTCACCAAAAGGTTTACCACATAAAAGGAATCTCTCTCCCATCTCCACAGGCTTATAGATGGGACTTGCCCTGCTCTTTGCCCAAATACTTGAAAAGCTACACAGGTTGTTTATCACCATCTCTTGACCAAAAAAAACCACAAAAACAACCCAACCACAAACAAAAAACCCAAAATCCTAAACCACGTATTTACCAGGAAAAGGAGGTTTGTTGAAAATATTCAAGCCCTGTAACCCTCAGCCTCTAGAGGAAGCAGTGGCAGGGCCACATCCATACAAGCAGAGGCCTGCCAAATTAATGTTTGATGTGGATGCTGATCCTGCCTCCTCACACCTCTTCTCCTCAGCATCAATTAATGAACCATCTCCAATGCTGTAATCATAAAAACAAGTCTAAGCAAAGAACAGGGAGACTCTTCAAGGCTTTCAGCCCCAAACCCCTTTTCACTGGAGGTCCTCCTGTGCTGTGGAGCAAATGCTGCTCCCTCAAAAAAAGCAATGTCACAGTGTAGGCGCCTCTCTCCCCAGCCCCAAGGCAACATGACAGTGCTTAAGATGCAAAGAGCTGCATCTTCTGAGGATCACTGACTCACAGTCACACCTCCGTATCTTCAGGGGCACCAGAGCCACAGCAGGAACACTGGAAGGCAAGCAGTTGTCCCCGGGACTGCTCCAGCATCCCCCCCTTGATGTTCATCACCACCACTACGAGAGACCCACTGGAAATCTCATCTGACTGGCTGACTGCAGACATGCTCTCGACTGCAGCTCTACAAGAAAGGGTATTTCAGCTCGTGGGTCTGTCACCTGGGGCAAACTTTGACACACCACTTAGATACAGCAGCAGTGTTCTGTGTGCACACAGAGCAGGCAATGGTACTTTAGCAGAGTGATGATGTCCATCCATCCTGATCCCATGGCACAAGAAGTTGACTGCAATGCTGGCTCATGAGGCGTCTCAAAGCAGTTACTTTCCCTTCAGCACCACTCATTAAAAGAAAATCACAACATATAATTTTTTCCAGTGGTCCAAGCAAGGACAGTCTTCCCCCAATCTTTGCTGGATGCTGTTCTAGACCCCTGAACCCCTGCAGGTATTTAGCTGGCTGATGCAAATATACACACAGAACAATCAGCCACAGCTATGACCACGAAGAGCTACATCTGCAATATGATGGGGCACAGTCTGGTGGAAAGAGCTCTGCAGAATAAGGGAGCTGGAGCTGAGGGGTCACCTGTTTGTGACTTGGATGTTCTGGTCAGATCTGCTCCAGCAGGGTCTTGTGGACAACACCCAGAGCCACCAGGGCACAGTAAGCATTCTCCTGCAGCAACTCCTCCAGCTCAGCACCAGCCAAAATGAGTCCAGTGCAAGTGTCCTGAAACTGCCCTGCAGTGCCAGCTTAGGGGGCTAAGTGGGGGAAAAAAATCAGTTTTCCCTACCAACGTGCACTTCCAAACCAAAACAAAATATCAGCATTACGGCAAAGATGAGGACAGACTCTTCCTTCTCTTGCTGCCTGACCCCGAAGAGCTGACAGCCAGCAGCAATAGCAAGGGAGGTGTCAGAGAGCAGAGCCTGCCCTGGGACACAGGGGCACAGACCATCCATCCCCCACTGCCAGACATTTAGACTCTTCCAACACAAGAGCTCAGATTCATTAGAAAGGCTTTAAAACCCTTCATATCCTGATGTTACCAAATAAACCAGGCTCCTCTGACACAACATGCCACGGACCTTTCTGCTTCCATGGGCACTTGGGATAGGAGAAAGCTGATTGCGTGCTCCCTTTGAACTACAAAATGCTATTAACCAAGAAAAAAGAGGAAAAAAATACAAACTCATCTTGCCCTTTCAGGAAAGCACCTAGAGGCATGGCTAGCACATGGTTACAGGCAACAGGATCAGCAAAATAAGCTTGTGAACAACTGCTGCTTGCTCCAAGACATGACACCTGAGGAGCTTATCCAAAGAGGTCTGCAGCATTTCCATCACCTGCCAAATCAACTCCCAAGGGGTCCAGGCATGCTGCTGTGTGCACAGACTTATTTTGCAGGAAGAATTTGGAGCAGTACCTTCACCTGGTCCTTTTCGAAGCAGGGTAGAGGGTAAAGATTGAACTGCTGTTTGTTAGAAATGAGGAAGCTTCAGCAAAGTTTCAGGAGGGACTTTTCTGGTTTTGGTTTCTTGGTTTTTGGTTTTTTTTTGTAAGTGCAGTTTCTGTTCTTTAGAACTACAGAACTGTGCAATTTCTGGAGCCCTGGGAAACCACTGACAGAGCACATCAGCATCACCTTGCTAGCAGCAGTGGGAGATATTCTGCACTTTGCTCTCTTTACTAGAGATGTCACATCAAGCAGCAAGCCACCCTCTGAGCCCAGTAATACTCATGGAGATGCCAGGGTAAGCAGGGGACCAGGCAGTGCCAAGCTCCTGCCACCCAAATGCCAAGACAGGTAACTCCTAACCCATGAGGCTGGAAAACATCAGAACATTTAAGGGCAGATCTACAGACAGAAGAACTCATACCAATTTAGATTTCCCTTTCCTGCCTTAATTTTTCTGAAACTCATGTCACTGTCCTTGGACAGGGCCACCCAGGCCTTTAACAGCACTTTTGTCACCTACAGCAGCGTGTGGTCCCTGCTTAGATCCAGCTGTCCACACAGGGACATCTGAGCATCTCAGTTACCCCATTACAGCACCTTGAGCCACTTTAAGAGCCCATCCTAATACTCAGCAGAATTCTGAAATGGGGCAGTTAATGTACTTGCCACATTGCAATAAAAAGTCACTTTTTTTAGGGCAAAGCTGCTGCTTGTGAAAACACCCTAATAATTTAATGCAGAAGCAGGAATATTGAGAAACAGTGATGTTCAGTCCTGTCAGTCCAAGGCAGTCCTCCCCAATGCCCACACAGCTCCAGGACCTCTCTCTACAGCAAGAGCTTGTCAAGCACTCCAAGCATTGCAGGCATTTCTGATAACAAGCCTGCTACCACCAAGTCTGACCTCCAAGCACAGGACTTGTCTGTTGACTTTCAGTATGTGGTTTGTTAGTTTATTTAAGTCAGAGCCACCTCTTTGAGAAACAAGATGGGGAATGAGAGAGGGAGGAAGAAAGTCACTAGTAAAATCATATGAATCATAAGAAGAAAGAACTTGTGCAGAAAGGAGTATCCTTGACACTAAGAAGTGTGTCTGCACTACACAGAGATGCACATCTTATGACATATGTTAAAGCATTACAGTCCATTAAATGCAGGAATTAATATGGTTATTGGAAAGCTAGAGCTGTGCTAAGTGTAACAGGAGATCACAAGTGGAAGAGTCAATTTAATATTTGAGAAAGCTGTTGGACTGAGGAACACTTGGCCACATATATCCAGTGTGCCCACAAGCAAGGGCACCTTGCAGAGGACCACATCTGCACCCAGGGGGGGAACACCCCTACTACCAGCTTCCCTGCCTGCTATCCCACAGTCTCCTCTGCTTGCCAATTGCAGCCATGGCCATGCTGGAAAAGCAGGGAAGGAGGAACATAGTCCACAGTTTCAGCACTGGAAAATAGAGAAAGAACTAGTTTAAGAGGCTTCATCAAGAAGAATTCCTGGGAGAGTTATTTGAAATTTCAGGCTGGTTATTGCAGGCTAACAAAATTGTAAGTAAATGGAAGCAAGAGTTCTCTGCAATTGCATGTGTGCTAGATTTAAAGAGGATGCACCACAGCTGGGTGTACCCAGTCAACAATAAACAACAAAACCCAGTGACTTTTGTCATTCCTGAAGCAGCATTTCCAAACCACCTCCATCTGCAAATAAAGTGTTAAGAGGACACAGGGGGGTGAAAACAACCCAAACAAAATGCGCTTAAGAACAACAGAATCTTCTCCATTTCTCCCTGAATTTCAAACTCGCTCCACCTCCCTCCTGCCAGGTCTCACCTTGCCATGGCTTTTCTCCACCTTTCGGAAACACTTGTTCAAGGAGAGGTTGTGTCGGACCGAGTTCTTCCAGCCGGTGGGGGCCGTGGCAAAGTAGGGGAAGCGGTCCAGGATCCAGCTGTAGATCTCTTTGACTGGCAAGCTCTTGTTGGGGGACTGCTCAATCGCCATGTAAATGAGAAGGCTGAAAGAGTAAGGAGGTTTGGAAGTGGAGGATTTTTTCTCAGGGTTCTGGTAGCAGGATGGCGAGAAGGATGGCACACTGTCACCCTCGATGTCATACAAGGGGCTAACAATTGGAAGGCCCTCGCTGCCGAGGCTGAAGTTTGTTAGCAGGTTAGTACTTTCGTGCAGCCAGTTCAAATTTGTGAGCTCATCATCTGCTGAATCTCTGTCCACCACAGTGGCCTTTGGCTTCCCGGCGTCGCCCGCGTCGGGCAGGCTGCCCACCCCATGGCACTGCCGTAGTCCTGCGGCTTTTTCTGCTCCGGGCGTTTCAGCTTTCTTATCCGGAGTCATCCCAGTGACTGGACCCATTTAGCTTGAGTGGTCTGCAACAAAGGAGATGGTCAGAAATCGTTGCAAACTACCACAATGACGTTCAGCAGGAGCCCCCCAAACCCAAGTGTGGGGCTGCACCATCCCCACGCTGTGCACAAACACTGAAGCCACTGGTGAGAGCCAAGGTCCAGCAGGAGCCTCCCAGTAAACTCATGAGCATGTGCTAACTTCCCTTGGTTTATAGCAGAGCTTATGGAAAGCACCTGGGAACTGCTGTATCTATCTAGAAACACCAATTCCAACACAGAAATAATAGCTGTTTTCATGTCAACACCTGAAACCTGGAAAAAACCTTAACAGGTAGTATCTAACCCATTCAGCTCTCACATTAACTCTTAAGTTTCTCATACTGTAAACTGACCCTGTTTAACAGTGTTTGCCTATGGTGTCCAATGAGTGAAAAAGGAATTGCAAAACTTAAATCAGCATAAAGTCTATTGTAGTCTCAGTGCAAATGATATCTTTATAACCCCCTACAAGTCACAGTCATTCCCAAGTGCTGCTGCCTGTTTCTACCAGAGGAAGATCTGGCCAGCCCATCTGTTCATTACCTGGATCCCAAAGATCTTTTTCCCCTCCTGCAAGGGTTTGCTGTCCTAACCTTGGCTTCCCTGCACAGCAGAGTGTGCTGGGACCACCTCTCAACAGGAAGGGACCAACCACTGGGGTGGCAGCCCAGACCTGCAGGAACAATGGCTCACCACTAAGATAAAAAAAAAACCCCAAAACAACAAAACACTAAAACCCCAATTAAAACACTATTATCTATAAAACACTGCCCATCAATGCACGGTCTAACAGGTTACCCATGCTTTAGAGGCATTACACTAACAGAAACCACCTTGCTTGTAGAGTTTTAAAAGGGGTCTTCTAGCAAACCATGCTATGAGAACAGCTGTTTTTTTCCTGCTGATGTGAGCAATTTACAGATGTAGGGGGTGTATATGTACACACATGTACACTATAGACATAAGACACTTCAGCTATGGATGCATTTCACAGCTGTAAACAGCACAGAGCAAAGCTGAGGTTCCTATTAACCATAAAAAGATCCAACCAAACAACCGAAGAAAAACCCAAACCCCATTCCATATCCCTGTCAGCACTATCATTCTGGTTTCATGCTCCAGGTCCCAGTGCCAGAGCTCAAGATGAGAACAGTTTCCATATCACATCTCACCAGACAGCTCGACACACTTACTGGATGTTTTCCTACACCAGTTTGCAGTAAACACTTGTCTCCTTGCACTTGCATCTTCTCCTACCAAGAGTCCACTGCCTGGCTCTGCCACCCCCAGCCCCAGTGAGCTCTGAACTGCCCAGCCTCTTTATTTTGGAGAAGGGGAGCGAGACTTGCAACGGAGGAGTGATGTGGAGACACAGAAAGGCAACAGGATAACCCATTTTATGCTCCCCAGTCCTGCCAGCCCCTGCCTGGTGCCAGGCAGTCACGAGGTGCAGATTTTGTGCCTCCCCCAGGAAACACACCGTGTTTCCCACCAGCAATTTTTACTCCTCTCTTTGTCTGCTCACACACTCTTGCACCAGCTATTGCAAAAGTGTGTTGACAACAGCACCTGCACTTATGCTTACCAGCAGCAGTGCTGGAAAATACCCATTAAATTTTTATTTTCTGTTTCCTATTTCTATTAAGTACAGTGATGAGTATGATTAACTACCAGCTCAGTCAGTAAAAAGAAAAAAAAAAAAATAAAGCAAAGTGAGCTGCTCAAATAGCTGGTCAAGAATAGCTTTGCTCTCCTTACAATTTACTTCTCCCCCAAGGCACCAGAGCAGATTTATATTGGCAGTAAGCGATGGCTGGCCTTAAACACAGCCATATACACATATGCTCATGTCACTTCTTCAGTCCTTTCTCAAATTAAAAAAACAACAAAGAGCTAGTGATAAAATTCATACAATGAGACAAACCCCAATTCTGCTGCAACTCGAGTTGCTCTGTTCTCTTTATAGTGATTAACTTTGCCCCCTTGTTCAGCACCTCTTCAGGCAGCTACAAAGGAGCTTACACCTCACAGTCGTGTTTTGGTAATTTTAGCTCTCAGTTCATGTTACATGAAATCTCCCTTTACAAATCTTCTTTCAGCATGGCAGATCAAGAACATGCACATGCTGACACACACATGTAAGTCTGAGGTCACTGTACTCATTTCTTAGGGGAAAGGGGCAATAAAGTCTGTTTTCAACACAAAACTGGCCTGGGCACGCTCAGTCTTCCCAGAAAAATAAGGGAAAAATACAACAATGTATTAAGCCAGCACTTATAATAAGGTAGACTTTGTGGTGTGGTGGTGTCACTGCACTACTTGTTTGCATGCTACTATGTTTTAGCAGAGAATCATTAGTATATTTAATGCCCTACTTGAAAATAAAAATTATTTGCAGATAACATACTTAGAGTAAATAATATAGGTTAGTGTCGTATTTCTCTTAGTAGATGCTTTGCAAAAATCCACATCTCATTACCTTCTCATCCTAGTTCACCACCTCACATACCTTCTACATGAACACATCAGAAATTAATTTATTTTTTTCTAGAAAGGTCATATTTTTTCTATAAAGGCCATATTAGACTATTATCAACTAATAAATAAGAAAAAATAAAATCACAGGAGGGACATCAGTGCCACTGGAGCATAAGTAAAGGCACACAAGTGGTCAGCTTGTGTGCTCTCCAGAACCCCTCTTCATTCACACAGACCTTTAATGACATCCAAAATCCACGATTTTTTCTTCCATGTGTGCTCTGATTGCCTATAAGCCAACACAACTGTGAGAGCACAGCTTCCAAGCTGTCATTTTCAAGATCATCACTTCCAATATTTGGGGTTTAATGTTTCACATAAGGGTCACGGGATTCACCAAAGCCATCTTTGCTGCAAGCTGGCAGGGTTTTGTGCCCAGGGATGACCCAGCAGAAAAACCCCAGTAAGAGCAAGGAGAGCAAAGTGTGAGAAGGAAAGAGCACAGAAGCAGCTCTCCAGTGTAGATGTTTTGATAATTCCCATGGGGACAGCCCCAGCCCTGTAAGCAGAGCCAGAAGGCAACCTCCAGCCAGGCAAATGCAAAAATAATATGCTTTAAGCACACCTCTGAAAAATATGGAAGAGTTTGTGCTCTGCCCATGTGTTTTACCCCTCCCAACGAGTACAGTGACACAGCACACTGCTGTTCGCTGGTATTAACACTTCCAACTGGAAGCAGAGCCTCATGCATCCAAATCCTAAGGAACTCGAGGATCCTGTTAGCACCTTCAAAAGGAAGGCCAACCAAAGCATTTACCCCTCAAAGTATCACAGTGGAGGTGCACATCATTTTGCATGGTAATTACAGACAGAGAACTATGATTCTAGGGTAAGAAGATAAAAAAGCTGCCAAGTCAACTGAGGCTGCTCAAATAAAAGTTAGGATGCCTCAGAAAAGAGGTGAGAGAGACAATCTGTCTGATTTTTGTCATCATATAAAAGCCAGGACCTCCCTGCTTATCCATGCCAGTCCAGAACCCAAACCCCAGTGAAGACCTGTTCTTCACTGAGCACTCACGACCCAGGCAGCAGAGCCCAGATCTGAAGGGGCTGATTAAGGCTGCAGGTGTATCAAGGCAGCAAGTCAAGGTAATATTTTTTGCAGCCTTCTCTCAAACTCACTGAAGAGCTAAGTTTGGGAAAGGTTACGAGCACTGAAAGGTCCTCAGCCTAGCAGAGCACATCTGGGTTAAACCAGCTTTGTGTGCCCCACAAACACCCCCATGACTGAATTTTGGTGGAAGACCTTGAGCACTGCTATGTTCTGCCACAGGAGAAAATGCTTTGATGTGTGAGCATTTAATGACGACAAAGAGCCTTTAATAAAGGTCAACCATTTAACAAAACTGGAAGTCCACTTGAGCATATTCTCAGGCAAGCAGGGAAGCTTGCTTATTTTGCAGCAGTCCTTGGAAGAAGTCTCAGCTCCAGCAGAACCCAGGCATAAAGGACAAAGCAGCAGCAGATGCCACCATCCCAGCAATGGGGACCTCCTCCAAACTCAGCAGCATTGCAGGTGTAAGCATACAGGTATCACTTCAGTGGCCACCACGCTTGGACTCACTGAACTGGCAAGAAAGAATTCAGCCTTTTTGTCAGAAGATGCCACAGCCTTGTCCATGCCAAGGTAGCATGAGAACAGAGCTGCTCTGGCTGCTTGATCCTTCTTTACCATGGCAGCAGATGAAAGGTGCCCTTTTGGCACCTGCACAGCATCAGTGCCCCAGGTTAGGACAACCTTCTCCACAACTAAATGCACCTTTTTATTTCTGCAGGACCAGCCAAGCAACTAGGTCACCTCTGCTAATAGTGGGAAGACCTGGAGCCTGCCAACAGTGATTTCCCTCCTTTAAAAAAAAAAAACCAAAAAACTTACCATGCATATGCATTGCCCAAGTCTGAGTAGTGGAACATAATTTTTATCCAGGAAAAAAGATTTTCAGCCATATCACACTTAATGACAGCAGCTCTGCACCCACTCTCTCCACAACAAGCTCAGGGGGTGCAGCCCTAGTTACAGAGCGTGGCAGATGTGCTTCACACACAACTTCTGTCCTGACACAAACAGTCTGTAAGAGTATTTAAGACAATTGGTATGTGCTTTTGCATGCAAATAACTACACCAATAGCAAACTCCTCTATTGATTTTTCATATTCCCTTGCATCTACAAGAAGCGTAAGGGCTTATCCTGATTAAATACATTGGTGTGTGTTGTCAAAAACAGCCCAAGAATTAGACAAATAAATGACTGTCACTGCTCACCTATCCAAACTGTGGATAAACTTCCAAGTCATTGTGCATGTAGCACAGGACCAACTACAAGTCTTTGCATGTTGAAGAGAAAAGAAAAAAAAATCCTGGCACAACTAATGCAAACCCATCAATAAAGGCACCCATCTGCCTGACCAGGAGAATTAAAAGGACGACACCAAACCATTTTGCT